TGATTTCTTACATATATTTTTAGAAAAAACTTTATTATATGTTTAGAAATGTAATTAAACATTTTCATAAATAAACCATAAAATATATGCAAATGGATGTTTTTCCCTCCAAACTCCTTTAGAGCAGTGCTTCTCAACTGGTGGTAATCTCGTGAGTAAATACCAAATATGCTATTTAGAACAAGGCACCCCACCTCTAGCCCCAATAAAGAATTGTCAAATAGTGCTGAGGTTGAGAAATCTTTCCTTAGATGATATACCATGTTCCAGTATGCCAGTTACTAAAATACTCTGAATTATAGGCCATTACTAAAATATTCTGAATTTTAGTCTTTCAGAATTGCCTATTTGAATATGCTCATTGTGTCAAATCCTCATTCCTTGTGAGGTATATTTTATTTTGGACTAATTAAGACTCATTGGGACAATATAGTTCATTTATGAAATTTAGTAAAGCATGCAGGCAGATATTTACCGAGACTTGTATAACTATGCACAAAATTATTTGTCTCCAATCCAGAATTTGGTTTAATTTAGAAAATGAAAGGTTTCTCCAGCCTTGGCCAGTGTGGTTCAGTTGGTTGGGTGTTGTCCTGTGCACCAAAAGGTTGCTGGTTCAATTCCACACGCCTACGTTGTGGTTTAGATCCCCACAGGAAGCAACAGATCTCCCATTAATGTTTCTCTCATCTTTCTCTCTCCCTTTCCCTTCCTCTCTCTAAAAATAAGAGGGGGGGGGGGGAAACTTAAAAGAAAATGGAAGACTTAAACTTTCCTTTTGTAACATCCTATATAATAAAACCGGTCGCTATGATGTGCACTGACAACCAGGGGGCAGACACTTGATGCCCCCTGGTTGTCAGTGCACTCCCTAAGGAGTAGCCCTGCTCAACCAGAAGCTGGGCTCACAGCTGGCTACTGCAGCAGCGGTGGCAGGAGCCTCTCCCGCCACTGCTACAGGCAGGTGGTAAAAAGTGAGGGGTCCTGGACTGCAAGAGCCCTGGATTGCAAGAGGGATGTCAGACTGCCGGCTTAGGCGGACATCATCAGAGAGGTCCTGGACTGTGAGAAGTGCAGACTGGGCTGAGGACCCCCCATACCCCAAATGCACAAATGTTGTGTACCAGGCCTCTAATATTTAAAGGAATTTATTTATTGACAAGAACTCTTTAAGGACAGACTTCAAAAACTTGACTCTCACCTAACACACATTTGAGAGAAGAGAATCAAGAACAACTTTCTTTGTAAATGGTTACTTGTCAACTCAGAAATTAGGAGAAGAAGATCTAAAAAAATGTGATAGATGAGCATGTAGCAAAAACTCTCACTCACCCAAAAAATATCAGTTTGAAGAATATATTAGTAAATATTTCATATTTTTCTGGATGTATTATTTTTATTTAAATTGAGCATTTGCTGTCCTAGCTAGTTTGGTTCAGTGGATAGAGCATCGGCCTGTGAATTGAAGGGTCCTGGGTTAGATTCTGGTCAAGAAAATATGCTTGGGTTGAGGGCTCGATCCCCAGTAGGAGATGTGCAGAGGGCAACCAGTCGATCATTCTCTCTCATCATTGATGTTTCTATCTGTCTCTCCCTCTCCCTTTCTTCTCTGAAATCAACCAAAATATATATTTTAAAAGAAATTAAAAGAAATAAAAAATAAATTGAGGATTTGCTCTGACATTTAATAGAAAACATATCTTTTATTTTCAAACTAGGGGCTCAGTGCATGAATTCATACATCTTGAAAGGAACTCTGGTCTGCGAGGCTGCAATGGGCACAGGGGCGGTCTTGGCCCATCCTCCATGCCCCTGTCTCGCACCTTCCACTGCAGCCCCTAGTCCCTCACCTGCTGGCAGCCCTGCTCCTGCTGCCACTGCTCCCACATGCTAATGGTGCCAGCCCCACTGGCACACGCTGAGTGTGCAGTGATTGGGGCCAGCGCTGGCAGCGGGTGTAAGTGGTGGCTCCGGTGCTGGCAGCAGGTGTTAGCAGGCTGGCACCAGCAGCAAGTGCAAGCACCAGGCGGGACTGCAGCATACAGAAGCAAAGAATTTTCAGTAACCACTAGAGCACATGTGTCAAACACAAGGCCCGCGGGCCAAATCCGTCCCATCAGGCCTTGCAATGTGGCCCGCACCGCGCTGTCATCACTGCACTCTGCTGCGTTTCCATCACAATGACAGTTTATGACTGTTCAGTAAACCATTCGGCCCGCGATTTAGGCTGGATTTTAGATTTTGGCCCCTTCTCTGATTGAGTTTGACACCCCTACACTAGAGGCTTTCCCCGTTGACAGCAACTGGCGCCCCACCTTGGTCTGGCACCCGCTCTCATCTACTCCACCATCCCCTCAGAGCCAATGACCACCATGTTCTGTATGTTCCCCTTGGTGTTCAGCACATGTCATAGCGACTGGTGGGTTGTCCCACCGTTTGATCTATTTGCATATTAGAGTTTTATATATATATATATATATAGATAATCCAAGTCTACAATCCTTACCTGCAGTTCTAAAATTCTAAACATTCTGAAAACTAAAGATTTTTGTAACTCAGCTATTGGCAAAAACCTGACCTAAACTGATGTGAGGCTATTTATATTTTTAATTTACCCATATAGTGTGAATATTCATTTCAGAACTATTAATGTGATGTTATTCGAGGGCCTTCTTAATATATACAATATTATTTTCCTTATAAAATTCTGAAAATTTTTAAGTTCCAAATTATCATCTTTGAAACAAAGAGGAATTTCTTTTCTTTTTTTTCTTTTTTTTTAATATATTTTATTGATTTTTTACAGAGAGGAAGAGAGAGGGATAGAAAGCTAGAAACATCAATGAGAGAGAAACATCCATCAGCTGCCTCTTGCACACCCCCTAGTGGGGATGTGCCTGCAACCAAGGTACATGCCCTTGACCGGAATCGAACCTGGGACCCTTCAGTCTGCAGGCCGACACTCTATCCACTGAACCAAACCGGTTTCAGCAGGAATTTCAATTATAGATGTTTTTAAGTAATCTTACTTGTCCTCATTTATTTCCTTTAAAAATTCAACCTTTTAAAATAATTATGGAAGCAGCTGAGTGTTTTATCATTTACCAGTGGTACTAAAGCATGTTGAAAATAAAATACTAATTTTTAAAGTCACCATTAGAGGGACTTTCAGATTTTTTACCCAATTAGGAAAGAAATCAGCAAAATTAAGGTGATAGCAATGTTAAAAGTGGGAAGAAGACATGATCAAGCAAATGATGGATAATGTATATATTTCCAATATTGCTATGAAACTGTTGAATATCACATGATAATCTTTTAAAATGCAGTATGAAATTAGATGTCATTCTTCCTCAAAATCTGGTAAGCCTAAATGTAACCAAGGGTACAAAAAATAGCCATTTTCATGGTTTTCTTATGGGAAAATTTTTTAAACAAAATGCCAAAAGCTCTGACAGCTATTATATCCTATAGCCAAAATGAATTTACTTCCTGAAGTGATCCTAAGAAGATACATAGCATGCATCACAAAAATAAATATATGAATCCCCATCACTGCTTTAGTCTATTAAAAAACTACCAAAATATCCATGAGTAACAATTGGTGAAATAAGTTATATATCCCTGAAATGGAATATACACCAAGTGGCCAGATTATTATGATCTCTGAATGCATAATAATCTGGCCACTCAGTGTGTGTGTGTGTGTGTGTGTGTGTGTGTGTGTGTGTGTGTATTAGAGGTCTGGTGCATGAATTCATGCATGGGTGGGGACTGGCCAGGGGAAGGGGACATGGGCAGTTGGCGCTGACCTGCCTGTTGGTCAAACTCCTGGTTGAAGGGACAATTTGCATATTAGCCTTTTATATATAGGATATACACTGAGTGGCCAGTTTATTATGCATTCAGAGATCATAATAATTTGGCCATTCAGTGTACATCATATTATAAAAAATATATATACTGGCATAAAGATATTCAAAATCTATTTTATCTAAAAAATGCAGTTTTAACTCTAGAAAATGGTATTTACAGTTTGCTTCCTATCATTTTTTTTCTGTACTTTCAAATTTTCTACAGTAAATATATTCAGAATAGGAAATTGTTAATATTTTATATTTGCTAAGTTATATATACATGTCTAAAATTAATTGGAAAAACTACAAATGAAGGAAATGTTACTGATAAATTTTAAGACATTTTATCACTGATTACCTTTCCAAAAAAAAAAGGGGGGGGGGGATGCTACCTATATAGATAAATAGAAGTTAAGGCAGTTTGTTTTGTGACATTTATCCAATCATGAAAATATTTTAGCAAAAAATATTACCACTTTTTGAGAAGTATTATATTTCTTTTTCAGAATTTTAGCCTTTTTTCTCCTTGTCTGAAATTCTGAAATCTGGTGGGTACCTGATTATTATTTCAGTAAAATGGGGTATACAATTTTCTCCCTAGATTTCTCATTTCAAATATTAGCACAGAGGGTGGAATTTTTACCTCTTATTCATGGTGTCCAGCGCTCAACATCTTAACCTGGCAGGAGGACCAAACGAGCTGTAAATCTTACCACCCAGACCACACTTGATTATTGTATGATGGGAAAATTAAACGTGAATAAAACAGCTAGAGCATTAGGGTGTTCTTGGAAGAATAAACACAAGTTGGAAGTCTTATGTGGATAGTGCAAAGTACAGGAAGGCAATCAATCATGTAAACATCAAATGAAAGGTTGGTAAGGAAGCCATTGGAGTCTGTCAGGCGCTCCCTGCAATAAATGGCTCATTCCATTTCTTTCCCTTTCACTCAGTTTAGAAAAGTGCATTCTGTGAAATCTAACAGATCTCAAAATATTTTTTGAGTTCTTAGTCCTATTTAAAGACGCATTTTGCACAGAATGAGCTCAAACCATTAAAAGAGGATTTTTAGTGGGTATAAAATGGACACAAATTTTGTCATATTGCATATTTCCATGACTGTTTTCCTCCTCCCACAAACAGGAAACAGTTAAGGCTGCAATAATGGAGGAGCAAAAGCGCAGTGAAAAGGCTGTGGCAGAGGCAGTGAAAAGATCACGAGAAGAATTGATCGAGTACATCAAAGAACAGAAAAGGGTAAGTTTCTCCTGAAAGGTTCCGATTTGTGCTTCCATAAACAGAAGCAGGCACTTCTATACATATTTAAAGTGTCCTTTGTCATGTAATTTAGAAATATCTATGATTATTTTATGATACAATGATATATTCGAATAGTTCTATCTCTAGACATAAATCTCATTTGTCAACAAAAAAGCAACCCAATAATTTCTTGACACCAAAGAGGTAATATGCAAATTGAACATCACTCCAACACACAAGATGGCTGCCCCCAGGTGGACACAAGATGGCCTCCACAAGATGGCCAGCAGAGGAGGGCAGTTGTGGGCAATCAGGCTAGAGGGGAGAGCAGTTGCGGGGAAACAGACCTGCAGGGGAGGGCAGTAGGGGTGACCAGGCCTGCAGGGGAGGGCAATTGGGGATGACCTGGCTGGCAGGGGAGAGCAGTTAGGGGTGACCACAGGATAGCAGGAGAGGCAGTTGGGGAGGACCAGGCCTGCAGGGAAGGGCAGTTGGGGGCAACCAGGCCAGCAGTGGAGAGCAGCTAGGAGTGACGAGGCTAGCACGGGAGGGCCATTAAGGGGTGACTGGGCCGGCAGGGGACAGCAGTTGTGGGGTACCAGGCCTGCAGGGGAGGGTAGATGGGGGGACCAGGCCTGAAGGGGAGGGTCATTGGGGTCGATCAGGCTGGCAGAGTTGTTGTTTGGGGGTGAACGGGCTGACAGGCAGAAACGGTTAGGGGCAATCAGGCAGGCAGGCAGGGAAGTGGTTGGAAGCTAGCAGTCCTGAATTGTGAGAGGGATGTCCAACTGCCCGTTTAGGCCCGATCCCAATGAGATCAGGCCTAAACGGGCAGTTGGACATCCCTTACGGGGTCCCAGATTGGAAGGGTGCAGGCTGGACTGAGTAACATCCTCCCTGGTGTATGAAATTCGTGCATGAAGGTGTGAGAGGATATCTAATTGAGATTTTGATTTTCATTTCCCCAGTATTAGTGATGTGTCTGTTAGCCATCAGTACATTCAGATTTTGTACCCATTTTTTAATTGGATTGTTTGTTTGTTTTGTTGTTGAGTTGTATGAATTCTTTGTATAGTTTGTTTATTAACCTCTTTTCAGATGTATAATTTTCAAATATATTTTCCCATTCACTAGGTTGCCTATCATTTTGTTGATGCTTTCCTTTGCTTATTATTTTGATGTAGTCATTTATTTCTGCTTATGATTCCCTTACTGTTGGAGTCAAATCTACAAATGACACACTAAGACTGATATCAAGGAGCTTATCACACATGCTTTCTTCTATGAAATACAGAGAAGGAAAGTTTTAATATATTCTGATTATTTATGATTATTTATTATGTAAGATAATGGCTTAATTTCATTTTTTAGCATGTGGCTATTCAGTTTTCCCAACACCATTCTTTGAAAATACTTTCCTTTCTTTTTTGTATGGTATTGAATCTTTTGCTGTAAATCAGTTGTCTATATTCGTGTGGGTCTATTGTATTATTTATTTGTGTTACAATTGTAAGCCTCCTTTTGCCCATCTCATATGTTCATCAGAAATATTGTCTTGTAATTTTTCTTTTGTTTTGTCTTTTTTCTGGTTTTTGGTATCAGGGTAATGTTGACCATATAAAAAGAATAAGTAAGCATTCCCTTCTCTTTATTTTTTGGAAGAGTTGAGAAGGATTGGTATTAAATCTTTGGTTGCTTAATGGAATTCACCAATGAAGCAGTCTGGTTCTGGACTTTTGTTTTCTGGGAGTTTTTTTTTTTTTTTATTACTGTTTTAAACTACTTACTAGTTATTGTTCTCTTCATATTTTCTATTTCATGTTTCAGTCTAGGAAGGTTGTGTGATTCTGAGAATTTATGTTCTCTAAGTTTTCTCATTTGAAGGCTTATAGCTGTTTGTAGAAGTCAGCTGTGATCCTTTATATTTCTGTAGTATCTGTTGTAACTACTCTTGTTTCTGATTTTTATTTATTTGAAATTTCTCTCTTTTTTCTTAGTGAGTCTAGCTAAAGGTTGTCAATTTTGTTTACCTTTTCAAAATACAAGTTCTTAATTTTATTGATTTTTTTTCCTGTCATATATTAGTCTCTATTTTATTTATTTCCTTTGATTTCTTCCTTGAGCCAATTGTTTCTCAGTAGCATATTGTTAATCTCCATCTACTTGTGATTTTTCCAGTAGTTGATTTGTATTTTCTGACCATTGTCATTACAAAAGATACTTGATATGATTTCAGTCTTCTTAAGTTTATTGAAAGTTGTTTTATTTTAGCATATGGCCTTTCCTTGAGAATGTTCTGTGTGCATTTAAGAAAATTGTTTATTCTGATGTTTTTTAATAGAACGTTCTGTATATATCTATTAAGTTCATTTGGTTTAAGTTGTCATTTAAGATTGAGTTTTCCTTTTATACTTTGTCTGGATTATGTAAATGCTATTAAAGTCCCATCTTATTATTGTGTTGCTGTCAATTCCTACCTGGAGGTCTTTTAATATCTTTTAATAATTGCTTTATATATCTTGATGCTTCCATGTTGGATACATTGTATTAATAAATAGGCCTTCCTGATGGATTGTCACCTTTATCATTATATAATATCCATGTTCGTCTTTTGTTACCTTTAACTTGAAGTCTATTTTGTCTTTGATAAGGATATCTGTATTCACTTTCTTTTGGCTAACATATGCTTGGAGGATCATCTTTTATCCATTCACTTTAAGCCTGCTTATCTTTAAAGCTGAAATATGTCTCTTGAAGGCAGCATATAGTTGGGTATTATTTTATAAACTATCTAAGCACCTCCAATCCAGGTACATGCCTTTGACTAGTATTTGAACCAGAGACCCTTTGGTGTGCCGGCTGATATCCTATCCACTGAGAAACACCGGCCACAGCACAATTAACAAGTTTTTAATCAGTTACCCTCCTTGTAAATATTTGAATTACACTTAGAATTAGAATTAGGATTGTACTAGAATTAAAATTAGAATTATATTGAAAAAATGTTTTACTTTTAAATGCCACTTATCAGGATGTTTTTTTCTATCAAATAAATAGGGATGTCACCAATCTTTACAAATACACACTATTCATTCGGTCTATATATCTTAGAGAGTTCAAAGTAGCTACCTGTATATGAATTAATTAATTGAATTATAATTTACACTCAAATTGCATCCTAATTTTTTTAGTAAGTTGAATGCATGATACTTGTACTGTTAGCTAAATCATAATAATAACCAAAAATTAGTATCTAATCAGAACATAAATCAAGAACTTTTTAAATGATCAACCAAAAAATAATTCAAATTAATGATGGATCAATTTCAGTGATAAAAGTTCCTTTCTTCTAAGTACTGTATTCTATATGATAGGTTTTTTAAAATCCCTCTGTAAAACCTTATATCCCAGGGGAGAAAATTACATTGAATACACAAATTTAGTATGAAATTAAAAAGCTAGTATTTTGCAGCTTTGGCTCTCATAAGTTTTCCATATCATTTAATGGAAAATGAATAATTCCTTAATGAATTTCGAATTTACTAATATAATCTGTACAATACCGAAGAAAAGTTTAACACAAAAATCTATAAAATTTTTAAAATATATTTAATTTTTTGAGAATCATATAGGTACCTGCAAGTGTACCTATGTTTGGTTTCAAACTCCCTTGAATATTATAACATCTAGATAAGAAAGGAATTGCAAACTATAACAAACTATATGGATCAAATTTGGCTTGCTGCTTATTTTTAAAAAATAAAGTTTGATTAAAATAGCCACATCCATTCATTTATGCATTGTTCTTTGGCTGGTTTCATGCTGTGATAGCAGAGTGAGTAGTTGAGAGAGACCATTGGGCCCACAGCCCTTTAAAATATTTATATATATATATATATATATATATATATATATATATGTATATATATGTATATGTATATTTTAATATGCCTCATTACAAGTAGATAATAGAAATTCCTTAGATGCTATACTACAGCATACTATAATAGATTCTTCTCTTGATACTAATTGCCAGATAAGGCATTATAATATATTAAATCTAGTCATTAGTGCTATAAACTTTATTTTAGACTGAAGAAGATTGTAGGGGGAAAAACACACGATATGGGTTAAGACCACATCCCTTGACACTTCCCAAGGGAGGAAGAATTTGTAGTTCATAATGACCTATGGCCCTTGGATTAGAATGAAGTATTCCAACCCATCCCACAAGTTTAGACTGTTATACATGAGCTTCCTATGAGGGAGGAAGTGTGAATAACATTCGGCAAGCAACAGCTACTCACAGCCAAGCAGTGATTCCTAAAAAATAAAATCTCGTCCAAATGTAATAAAAGATTATTTTTTTTCCTCTTAAGAACCTGAATGATGGCCTGTATTTTCTAAATCACCTCCAGGAAAATAATCTTCATTTTAGAGGATTCTTTTAATTTAGATCTTTAGAGAGGAATAATAACTAATTACCACCTTTACTTGAAATGTCCTATGGTCAAAGCATTATCAGAATTTCTTAATTGTAAAAAGACTCATTTAATACAATTTTGCCACAATATTCTTGAGTGTTTACATCACAAACTATTTATAAAAAAGGCAATATTTGGCCAAAATGAACTCTAGTTTCTGATCAGTTCTACAGTTACTTGAATTAAAAAAAAAATAACATGTCAGAATTATTTTGTCCTTTAAAATATATCTAAATACACAAGTCATTATTACAAATAAGTTTTTTTATATAGAAAATTAAGATTGAATCATAATCCCAAAATTTTCTGTTGAAAACCTTTCTTTTTGCTATGTTTGAAGTTATGTTGATGTGCAGAAGTATTTTAAAATTAATTTTATTCTATTTTAGCATAGAGTTATTAAACAGTATACCCCAGTCTGACACTTAACTTTAGTGGGTCTTCGTTCTTAATACTGTCTGTTAGGTAGAAAGAAGAAATAATTGTCATTTGTAAGAAATATGCAATAATTAG